GAAAATCCCTTAGACTCTCTCTCATCTCTAATTAACCACCAAAAAGGAGCCCCAAGTTGGGCTGTGGCTCAAGTGGTAGAGTGCCAGACTGGATTGGAAAAAAACTGAGGGACAGCTTTCAGGCTCTGAGTTCAAGCCCCTTAAAGGCACTAAACAAACAAACAATGACAACAAATAACCCATGGAAACATGGCCTCTGAAGTCTCCTTAGTGCTCCCGGGAAAGAAGGCTGAGTATCCCAGGGAGCTTCCTCCCGCCTTCAAAGGGATTCCAGGCCTTGCCTCTCTGGTGAATTCCCTCCCAAGAAGTGGGTGCCATCGCTACTCTGCCGGCAAACCCTGGCAAGTGTGGCTGTGACTGAAAGCGACGTGTTTGCAGGCACCAAGGTGGGAACGCCTCCTCTAGACAGACTAGATGGTTGTAGGACATTTCTCCCTGGAGGAAATCAGGCTGCAGGAAAACGGCAGCAAATGAGAGGCACCCAGAGGAGAAAGAAGGGAACTGGAGAGAAAGGCTTGCTTCTGACAATTGGAGGGGCGGGGGAGGGTGAAAGTGATGAGCTGGACTCGTTTGTAAGAGAAACTGAGGCAGGAAGTCAGGAAGGCAAGACGTGCTCACGGGAGTCCACGCACCAAGAAGAGGGTGAAGTTATTAAACCTACGACGTGAGCGCAGAGAGGAGGCGGGCGCAGCACACGACTGGACAGAGAAAGGCCTTACGTGGTTCACTTCTGCTTGTGTCTACATTTATTTGTTATTAATTGATAAAATTCCACATTTTGACGCATCTCTGCATTTCCAGCTAATGGACAAGTGCAGGACTCTTCACCTAATTATCATCTGGTGACCCGGTAGCTCCATACCCACCATTCCTGTACGTTTTTAAGAATCTGATCTGTTGTCCACATGGTCTGCAGTCCATCCCTTGGTTTATTCCTCCCAGAGCTGTAATTACAAACCCAATGACCAAGCTGCTGGCTGCGAGGCTGAGAAACTGTGACAGAAAGTCCCCAGCAGGAGAATTCATTTCCTTCCTTCCCCCCGGAACTGAACGCTGTCCTAGTTCTTTGCTGATAGATGAGTTGGGAATTTCTAAAGCTTCTGCAGACCTCACTCTTGGCAGCTCGGGCCAATCAGGGCGGTAAAGAATTCTCTCTGGGGAAGGTGAGTTCCTGGAACCATCTCCTCTCGCTGTGGAGGTGATGAGGACTGAGGACCGGAATGTAGCACACCCTCCAGGCCTCCGCCGCCTTCTCCTGAACGGTGCTGGGTTTTGTTGTTTTTAATCTGGTATTTTCTCTCTGGCAAGCCTCACTCCTGGTCAGCTTCCAGTTTATCTTGTGGGATTTCAACATTCTTTAGACCATGTTCTACCAGTGACTCACCACAGATAAGGAGTGGTGCATGCTGAATTCGAGGGGAGGTTCCAGACATTTGGATTAACATCTGAGGCTGCGGCTGCGTAGACAGAGCACATTCCGGCAGAAGGCATTTTTGCATTTTATGGTGGACAACTTTCCATCACCTCCACTCAGAAAAAAAATACAGTGGAGCCCAGGCTTTCCCCTTTCCTTATATCTAGGGTCCCTTTCCAAAGCAACAGGCACACATTTTCCTTGTGAAGTTCATGGTTCTCTATAGTTAATTCAAGGGAAAGGCTACAGACAAGCAAGAGAATGACATGTATTTGGAAATTCTGGTTGTAAGGCAAGCTTCTTGGGTGGCTTTTGGTTTCATTACCATCTTGTTTTCATAAGTTAATACAGAAAATAACCAAACTTTAGCATACATTTCCACACTTATTTTTAGCTCTTCTTTTGGGAGTAGGCAAATGGAACAGTCAAAAAAGAGAATAAAAAGAAAGGAACATAGGTGGATAAAATGCTAGAAAGTACCTTTTTGTAGCTGTGGAGTTTGTTTTGTCTTTGTAATGATCAGCACAATGAGCTATTATTTGGGGAGTTTTGGGGGGTGCTTTAATTGTCTCCCCCTAAATTGTTAAGTCCAGGAGAACAGAGGCAGAGTCTTGTGAACAGTACGCTATAGACATTCCATAAGTAATTGATAAATGAATGAAGCCAGTTCTTGTTTAGCACGCACTCAGGAGCAATGCAATCTTGGTTAACAAGCTATCGTGATCATTCTCAGCATTTCTGAGTTTCTCCCACCGGTTTTGAGCTGTGTTTGGAGGCCCTGTGAATCAGGAGCACCAAGACCAGGCACTTCTTGGAAGGAGTGACTGACTGCCGTAGGAAGCAGCTGTGAGCCGGGCATCGGGCACAGCCGTGGCCGCTCGGAGTCACAGCACCCAGCGACCCTACAGTGCCAGGACACAGACGCGGGTGCAGACTTCACAGAGAAAAAAAGGAAAATAATTCGGTGATCACGGCTCCCGCCGGGCCCTTCAGAAGCCAGGGAGCCACGCGAAGCTTCATGCACTTGCTCAGGGAAGGCGCTGAGTCCCTTGTGCGTGTCAGTATCAGTGGGAAAGAGTCCATCACGCCGGCCTTTCTTCACAGGCCATGCATTGATCAACACCAAGAGACAGACAGAAGCAATCGGGCTCGCTGAATGTCTCCCGCCAGTAGGTGTGATCATCACAGCACAACCCCAAGTCAGGAATGCACACGTCAGACATAGTTTCATGTCACGCCCCGGTTCACTTGCCCATGGCAAGTTTAGGTAAGGTAGATAAGACTTAATTAGATGATCTATTAGTTTTGGAAGAATATGGACAACCCTGGCTGTTAGTACATGCCTCCAAGGTCAGAAAGTCATGCTTGTTAGAACAACAGGAAGGAAATTCCCAGCATCTTGGCAAACAGCCACAGAGAACCATCTAGAACCACAATGAAGTGAGGACCGTCTTCTGTCACATGATTGGGGCACAGATGCTGTTTAGAAGAAAGGGAAAAAGATCAGCAGATTCAGCCAACCCCAGACCAGTCGGGACTTGTAGGAGGGCAGCTGGAATTTTATCTGGAAATGAACTTTCCCTGAATTTGCTTTTCTTGGCTCCTAAGTTCCTTTTTCTGGGAGCCATTGTAAGTAGATTTACTAATAAAGAATAACCAAAGAAAGTCAGAATCTAGAATAAGCCTTTAATTTGAGAGTAAGTCTTCAATGTACCAGGAAAATATATCAAATAAGAAAGTGCCTTTACTGGTAACTAAACAGAAAACTTAAGAAATCCTAAACTGTATGCTAGTGATTTTCTTCCCCTCATCATTATATACCCTCCTGTAAGATCTGACAGAAGATGTGGGCGATCACTAAGGTGAGAGGAGTTTAGAATATATCTTCCCACCGAGTCAGCTATGACGAACCTGTGGAAACACTAAGTCTGGGCACAGCACCAGCAGAGAGGGAATACTGGCATCGCTCAGTGGAATCTGATGAAATGCTTGTTCCTGTCGCATTTACCTCCAGAACTTGTACTTTATGAAATAAATCAGAGCATGCATAGAAGAACACAACCAGCACGCTCACGAACTTGTTAGCAAGTCATAAAACAAGTAAGTAAAGACATTAAGACAGGCTGACACAGGGTAAATGAGGTCCACCGTAGCACCGAGGGCAGAGAATAAAGAATGAAGACTGGTGCCAGGCTCTCCGGTCTCTGCGCAAACCATGCTTTTTACAGGTGGCTCGCAGGTAATGAGAGTGCGGACGTTGTTTACAAACTTTCCAAGACTCTCGGGAACCAGAGTCCCCAGCTGTGGTAGGGACTACGCTCAGATAAGCTCCAGTCACCTCCACGTCTAGGGAAGGCATTGTGGGAAATGCTGCAGAAGAAGACCGGAGTCTCAGCTCTCCGCTCCTCCTGCCATGTACATTTCTGTCGTTGCTGGAACCCCAGGGGGTCTAGCATGGGCCCCCCCCAACCCCAGCTCTGGACAGATCCTCAGGCCTCTGACACCTCAGCTCCGGCAGGCTGGCCTTGAGTTCCGAGGCAGAACTGGGCCATGACTGTCAAGCTTAACTGTGTTCCAGGGTCAGCCACAGGGCTCCACCCAGAGCTTCCACCTGTCAGGTGGAGCTCCTCAGTCTGCATTTCCATCCGTTCCCACAGGCCTGTTAGCTGTGCTTCAGGAACTAAGCCCAGAAACGGGGTGGCAGGGAGCAGGGGGAGGGCAGATGCAGGGGTGGAGCTGCAGCATTCCTCACTGTGCTTCTGAAATGACTGTCAAGATAAAAGCACAGTAACTTGAATTTCAAAGGCATCTCAGAAGGAAGAAATATCCAAGTGAGGAGCAGTAGCTGAAAAGAACTGGGATGTGGGGACCTTCCCCTTTTGCTTGGAAACGGGTCGGGGCTAGGGACCTGGGGGTTCGGAGAGAGTCACATGAAACCCAGCCTCATTCTCCAACTGCTGCTAAACACTGAAACGTAGCTGGTTTACAGAAAACTTAAAAAGTTTAAAGGGCAGTGAGGCCTGTGACCCTTGCTCAGAGATCTTGGTTTACGGATTGAGATGCATTCTACACCGCAGCCTGGGCTCCATTCTCTTTGCCATCTCTCGCTTTCTTTACCTTGAGACCAGTTCCAAATGGACAAAGGAGATTCCCAGGGCACCTATTGCTATTCATTGTCAGCCTAAGAATAGGATATGTTTTTTAAAAAGCATAAGCTGAAATTAGGTAGCTGAGACTCAGAAATAACGCCCAGATCATACTTTCACATGTAAGGTATTTTTAGATATGGAAACAATGGTTTTAGCTTTAGTTTTTATTATTTAATTTTTACAAGTAATTTATTGCTATTATAGAGGTGATGTGCAAAGGGATCACAATTATGTGAGTCAGGTGGAAGCCATTTTTATATGATAAAAATTGGTCTCGGTCCTAATGTGGGTTGCTCTACAACCAACAATGTTCTGTGCCTTCGGGGGCCTTGTGCTCTGGTCTGGCTCCCTCTGTGGAGATGGCGCCGCAGGCTTGCCTTTGCGGCTCTGTCACACTGTCCAGCCCCTCCTTGGGAACGTTCATTCAATCTCGCTGGCCTGTCCCTGCCTTGCCAGATCTGAGGTTACCTGGGAAATGGAGGCTAGGAGTAGAAGAGAAAGTGGAAAGAGTTGGCAGCCTTCACAGGCCTTGAGAGACCCGGGAACAAGGGTGAGTCACAGCCAGGCTGAGACACGCCGGCCGGAAAATCATCACAATTTCCTATTTGCCTCTTCAGATGAAGACAAGAAACTTTATTTTTCCTTCTATTTGGCCTATTTGTGGGGCAAATGGGGTTACAGTTACAGGGGCAAGGTAATGAGTACATTTCTTATCAAGCATTGTTGCCTCCTCCTTTGTTTCCCCTTCCCAGGCCTTCCCATCTCCCCCCATCCCCCCTGTCCCCCACCCCCCATCCCCCATCCCAAGCCAAAGTTGTAAAGTTTGTTTTTTGACATGACCTCTTGTGCATCTCATTGCAATGGGTCCATCTGTATTCCTATTTAAACAATTGTTTTTAGTGCCTTGAATAGCTACTTACCACTAACTCTGTTCTAACCTAACATCCTGGTGACAGGTACAGTTTTGGAAGGTGTTGTTGCACAGAGCTACAGAAATGTCAGTGAGGACAAGAATGTCCCTGCTTCCAAACATTGGGTTAATGAGCATTCGCAATTCAATGTGATATGGGCTGAGGGTTCTCATCTTAACTGGTAGAATTTGGGGAAATCTTAGGTTAAGCTATACCTAACTTTGCCTTCTTCAACTCAAAGATATCAGGAGAGCCAAATTAATCAAGTACCCTATTTCTAGCATCCACTGGTGTACCTTATGCTTTTCTTTGGCAATCATAGCTGGCTACGAACACTTTATCCTTACTAGCTACCTAACATCTATCCATGCAATTAGCTATTTGTCAATTAACTAACCAAGCGATAGATGGGGCTATTTAATTTGGAACCTCAGACACAGAAGGTCACTCAACTCATGCATAATTAAGCAGCTCAAGCAACTAACTTATGAAGCTAGAGTTCTGACTCAGGAAGCTAGCAGGGGTGAGAAGTATATGGTATGACATTGGAAAAGTCACTAAAAATGAGGAGATTCCACTCTTGAGTTGCACACCAATCATTGACCTGCTTGGCTCATTGACTTACCACTTTACTCCAGAGAAGACTGAGGTGGAGAGCATTAGGTGTTACACTCAGCAAAAGTCAACAGAAACGCTTCTTCATATACATGGAGAAAGACACAGAGTGCCTGACTCAGAAAGACCAAGGCTGTTAAACCACTTCAGACAGAAACTTCCAATGGGAAAACCTGGAGTGTTCCCAAGGCCAAGAGGACTAACAGCTGAACGGCAGAGCCATCGAGAGCTGTGCATTTTTCTAGGTCTCCATTCTCCCATCCCTGTTTCTGTTTTCTGCCTTTCTTCTCCCTTGGTCCATCGCCAGCTCAGGCTTTGGACCAGGTTAGATGTTTCCACTATTCCTATTTTTTTTTTCTTTTCTTAGGAATAGCTCTTACGTGTGAGCTCTTTTGGTGACATCAGTTCAAGAAATGAATATTTCTCTAAAAGGAAACTTGGCTTCCTATTTTTTGTCCTGTCACAGAAACTACAACTAAACGAAAAGCAATGGTACACTTTCAATTCACAAGTATTTGCACATCACAGTTGTTTACATGCCTGTTATCTGGGTAAGCTCGTAGGACAAAAGGCTCTGGGCTGTGGGGTCAGGGAGGTTGACTTCAGTTCCCAGTAGAAGGAGTTACAGCTTTGTCTCCCTACGTAACTTAATCTATCTGAACCTGGGTTTTCTTACCTCTCAAAGCTAAGGGTAATAGCCGCCCTGTGCTTTCTGCTTCGTGGGCATAGGCCATTTCCCTCCGCCCAGAAAGCACTTCCTTGCTCCTCTCACTTAATCTGAACCCTTCCCATCCTTGAAGAGTAAGTTCTAGTCACTATTTTCCCAGTTGCGCATATTGTCTGCCCTTTTCAAATCTTTGTCTTTACATCTTCTCTGTGCTACTCAATCAATACTCACCACTGTTTGAAGATATTGTAAAAGCCAAAAGTAAAGAAAGCCCAAACAACAAAACTATTGTGTTATCAATTTTCTGGTGTAGGCCTCTTTTAAATGCATTTATAATAGAACTTCAAATTCAATTTCCACTTGGGCAAAAAAATGCAGTTTGGAAAGAAGCCCCCCCTGCTTCTGCGCCATAGACGGGGCTTGCCTCTCTTCCTTGGCTTTCCCACTACCTCCCACAATACCAGAAAAGGGATCAGTTTTGTCACTGCTGTCAAATGATGCTGCTTGGACCATTTTACCAACCCAAGGCCCATGAGGAAACCTGTGTCTTTCTGTCCCTTCCCCCTCCAGCAGTAACTTTCTCCAAATCACGTCTAACATTGAAGCTAATACCATTTCCTTGTTCCTAGCACTTTAACCAGATTCTGGAGTGGTTTTAACTGATCCTCCAAAGTTTCAACACCATTGCAAAGCCCGGCAACTTGTTCACACTGGATCCCCAGCTGGTCCTATTCTACTTCCACCCTGGAACCACTCACTTGGAATACTGGGCATTTTCTAAATCCCTGTCCCTGGGATCCCTAGCCTGAACCTTACTACGGGCAGCGCTCAACAACCATTCTCCAGACATGCTTGTCTTTCCTTCTGCTTAGCATCAGCGAGCTCATAGTTTATTGCCTTTTTATACTTAGCTATCATAAAGTATCTCGAAGTGTAATTCCCATACATACCCAAAACCTAATGAGAACATAGCATCCTGGTACATATACTTACCAATTGCTACTGGGTCTTCAGGGATCATCTTTTGTTTTAACATTCTAACCAGACTTTCTTTGCATATTCCTCTTTATGGTTCCTTCTTTGAGATTTAGATAATATGGTTCTCAGAATCTGGTCCCAAGTTTCAAGGAATCTCCCATTCTGCTACTAAGGCAAAAGTACAAAACAAAAACTAGAAGATGGTAAATGAAAAGTACCAAGATGAGTAATACGTATAAGCGCATGGCATCATTTTGAGCAATTTAGGCTTGGAAGGCAGTGAAATCCTCAGGAAAACATTCTCTCCATGCCTGTTTTTACAATAATAAGCTTGTCCTCCAGTGCAGGACACCTTAAATGGGTGAGAATTACAATATGAACAGGGCTACAGCTCAAAAACATAAGTTATGAAGCAACTTATAAAGAAGGATGTAATCATGTTATTTATTTTTCAAAAGCAATGCCAATACGGAAAACTCAGGTTTTCTTGTCTTGCTTAGTTTGTTTTGCTCTAATCTGGTTCTCTATCACTTGGGCCATACGTCTACTTGCAGATTCTCCTGGTTAATTGGAGAGAAGAGTCTCTTGTATTTGTCTGCCTGAACTACCTTCAAACTACATTCTCAGATCTCAGCCTCCCGAGTAGGTAGGATTAGAGGCATGAGCCTTCAGCCTGGCTATTTTTAAACATTTTATATATCACCATATTTGTTTGATTCTGTCTTTTCTATTTATAATGTGATCTTGGACAAATCATTGAAGCTTGTTTGAGTTTGAGTTTTCACAATATTAAAATAGGAACCACAATAATACCTACCTTGTAGAATGGCTGTGTTATGTGTAAGTAACAGGAATTGTTTAGAATGGTGCAGAGAAACTCCATGTCATAGTTGTGCTATTACTGTCATCAATATACAGAAAACAAATGGTGCAGAAACGATTTTTTAAAAACCCACCTCCTCAAACAGTCTCAGGGTTGTGATGATCATGAGATGGTTAGGAAAGACTGTGCAGATTTATTGACTTTATTATTAACTTTATTGCTTCTCTGTGGAGAACTAATGAAAGGAGGGTGTGCATGGGAGGAGGGGATAAAGAAGATTGAAAACAGTCAAATAAACGATTCACAACCTGGGAAATGGAATAAGAAAACCTATGTGAGACTCTGTTTCTCAGAGGAAAGGGTGCAAGGAATGTGGTGGAGGGAGGGAAGTGCATTGGAAGAGAGCGTTAACATGTGTGGCGTTGTGACCGTGAGAAACTGAGCCAAGCCAATGAAAAAAGTGGAGCTGAGCAGCTTCATGCTTGTAATGCTAGCTACTGAGAAGTCTGAGGCCTGAGGACTGTCATCCAACCCGGGCAGGAAAGTCCATGACACTTTTATCTCCAATGAACCTGTGGCTCAAGCGGTAGAGGACGAACTTTGAGCACAAAAAACTCAGGGACAACACCCAGGCCCTGAGTGCAAGCCCAGGACTGACAAAAAAAATGGGTCAGAATGTTATCAGCAGAATGTTATCGATACAATACTCCTAGCAGTCTGTGCTACGCAAGCTATGACATTGTGCAGTGTTGCAAAAGTTAGAACCAGTACCCACCCCGTACTTGCCCTGTTTTCCTAAGAAATGCCTTGAGAAGACGTGTCTGCATCTAACTTTCTAGGAATTACGAGAGCAATTACATCACGCTTGACTACTCAGTGAGTAAGTAACCAGAAACCATTTTGAATGACAGTCTTAATGGAAAGCATAAATGTTATCTAAGCTTAATGCAAGACTCATCCTATTAGTGATAGAGAGTGCAGTGATAAGCATCTCTATGTTACTAGAAGCTTCCTCAATCTCCTCTTCTGGGCCTCATTTTCTGGGACAGATAGCAAATTCATGGTGGTCTGGGTAATGTCAGCCAGAGAAAGCTTCTGTAAGAAAACCCTCCAAGCCAGGGACATCTCTCTGTGAGTCTACAGTGCTCCTAGAATAATAAGAGAATTCTCTTGGTGAATATTGACGGCATTCTTAGGATTGAAAAGGAAATCCAATACCACAACAGAACACAATTTAAGTCAAAACCAGCCCTTTAATTGCACAGACTTTGGAGGTTTAAAATCATAGACCAACATTCCCCTATCGAATTCTCCTTTTCTCTGTTTGGGGAGGGGTATTGTGGTTCAGGAAAGGAGATTATATGTAGTTGGAGCCAGTGAGAAAACCTGATATAAGCAATAAAACAATCCAAACTGAAAGGATAACAGGATGAGCCAATTAGACACAGTCAAAATGGAGCGTCTAACCCAGGGACAATTAGGCATCCATAGACTAAAGAAAAGGAAGGAGAGAAGGGCTGAAGTAAAGGAAAACAAGTTGAAGTGCAGTTAAAAGAAATATTAAGAGATAAGGAAGAACAGTGCTGTAGGAACATCAATACCAAACTTCAAACTCTATTATAAAGCTGAAGTTATAAAAACAGCGTGGTACTGGCCTGAGGACCAGTGGACTAGAACTGAAGACCCAGAAATACACCCACAGACCTACGGCCGCCTAATCTTGGATAAAGGAGCCAAAAACATCAGATGGAAGAAAGACAGCCTCTTCAACAAATGGCGCTGGCAGAATTGGCTACACATGTGTAGAAAATTGAAGTTAGATCTGTATGTATCACCCTGCACCAGAATCAACACCGAATGGATCAAAGACCTCGAGGTCAAAAAGAGACCCTGAAAATGCTACAGGGAGGGATAGGGGATTCGCTAGGACTCCTTGGCACAGGTCAAAACTTCCTAAATAAAGATCAGAAACAGAACAAATCAAAGAAAGGCTGGATAAATGAGATCACATTAAACTGCAGAGCTTCTGCATGGCAAAGGGCATAGCTAGCAAGATAAACAGAAAGCCCACAGACTGGGGGAAGATCTTCACTAGCCATACAACAGACAAGGGCCTCATATCAAAAATGTTCGTAGGCACGAGCTCTGTGTGTTCCCTGTCATGTCTTGACCGCAGCTGGGTTCCCACGCGCCGGCTGAGCCCGAGCGATCTGGGAAGAACCTGAGCCACAGATAAAACATGCTGTGTATGCCTTCTGGAAGCATAGTCCACAAATCCATACTTGTAAATATCCCTGCTTAAAAAAACACAGCAAAGGCCACAAATCCATACTTGTAAATATCCCTGCTTAAAAAAACACAGCAAAGGGGTAATGAAATGTAAAGTCCTAAGAGGAAAGCCTCTGGGCCTGGGTCCCCTCCAGTAAGTACCACCAGAGCTGAGCTTCACAGCAGCCCTGGGAGCTGTCCAATCACGCAAGCACACGCTGCCCTGGAGCGCAGCTGTTGGTCCAAGGCCGGGCTTCCGAGGTTCGCACCTGTCATCCCAGTGACTCAGGAGGCTGAGATCTGAGGATCGCGGTTCAAAGCCAGCCCCACAGGAAAGGCTGTGAGACTCTTCTCTCCAATAAACCACCAGGAGAGGAAAGAATAGAACTTAGAAAGGAAAAGGGCAGGAGTGGAGTGCTGGCTCAAATGGTAGAGTGCCATCTTTGCGCAAAGGAAGCTAAGGGACAGCGCCCAGGCCCTGAGTTCAAACCCCAGGACTGCCAAAAGAAAAAAAGATTGGCAGCTGCTAGGAAGCGGTCTGTCTGATTTGGGGCACTTCCCCCCGGGAGAGTTAGAAAAGGTGTGAGCTCCAGGGCGGGAAACGAGGCTGTCAGGAAGCGTTTGGTGAGTCTGGACACCGATGGTTCACACCTGGGTGGGGAAGTGTTCTCTGATGGACTGATGGCAGACAGGAAGCGAAGCAGCAAGGGTCGAGCTGCCGGAGGCCAGGCGGCGAAGGGCTGGGGCTCCGCCCCGCTCCAGACACGCAGCTGCCCGCTCCAGACACACAGCTGCCCACTCCACACACACGCTGCCCACTCCACACACACAGCTGCCCACTCCAAACACACAGCTGCCCACTCCACACACACAGCTGCCCGCTCCAGACACGCAGCTGCCCACTCCAGACACGCAGCTGCCCGCTCCAGACACACAGCTGCCCGCTCCAGACGCGCAGCTGCCCGCTCCAGACACGCAGCTGCCCGCTCCACACACGCAGCTGCCCGCTCCACACACGCAGCTGCCCGCTCCAAACACGCAGCTGCCCGCTCCAAACACGCAGCTGCCCGCTCCAGACACGCAGTTGCCCGCTTCACACACACAGCTGCCCGCTCCAGACACGCAGCTGCCCGCTCCAGACACGCAGCTGCCCGCTCCAGACAGGCAGCTGCCCGCTCCACACACGCAGCTGCCCGCTCCAAACACGCAGCTGCCCGCTCCAAACACGCAGCTGCCGGCTCCAGACACGCAGTTGCCCGCTTCACACACACAGCTGCCCGCTCCAGACACGCAGCTGCCCGCTCCAGACACGCAGCTGCCCGCTCCAGACACGCAGCTGCCCGCTCCAGACACGCAGCTGCCCGCTCCAGACACGCAGCTGCCCGCTCCACACACGCAGCTGCCCGCTCCAGACACGCAGCTGCCCGCTCCAGACACGCAGCTGCCCGCTCCAGACACGCAGCTGCCCGCTCCAGACACGCAGCTGCCCGCTCCACACACACAGCTGCCCGCTCCAAACACACAGCTGCCCGCTCCAAACACACAGCTGCCCGCTCCAAACACGCAGCTGCCCGCTCCAGACACGCAGTTGCCCGCTTCACACACACAGCTGCCCGCTCCAGACACGCAGCTGCCCGCTCCAGACACGCAGCTGCCCGCTCCAGACACGCAGCTGCCCGCTCCACACACGCAGCTGCCCGCTCCACACACACAGCTGCCCGCTCCAAACACGCAGCTGCCCGCTCCAAACACGCAGCTGCCGGCTCCAGACACGCAGTTGCCCGCTTCACACACACAGCTGCCCGCTCCAGACACGCAGCTGCCCGCTCCAGACACGCAGCTGCCCGCTCCAGACACGCAGCTGCCCGCTCCAGACACGCAGCTGCCCGCTCCAGACACGCAGCTGCCCGCTCCACACACGCAGCTGCCCGCTCCAGACACGCAGCTGCCCGCTCCAGACACGCAGCTGCCCGCTCCAGACACGCAGCTGCCCGCTCCAGACACGCAGCTGCCCGCTCCAGACACGCAGCTGCCCGCTCCACACACACAGCTGCCCGCTCCAAACACACAGCTGCCC